CCAGTTGCCGGGGTTATCATGCAGCGGTTGACACAAATAAAGGCCAACTTACATCCGTAATCCATGGCAACAAATCATTTAAAAGCGCTACAGGTCATTACGGCCCTGTCGGCCCTCTTCAGAAGTTGCCGCCGCATCTCCTCGTCAGTGCATCACAAGGCGGTGTCTCTCTTGAGCGGGCAGCCGTTCGCTCTTCCATTACCTCCAATCCGCCATAAATACAAGGGGGGGGGACCCCTTACCTCCTAACCAATGAAAGAGAAGAGCGCCCACAAAAAGGACGGCATATTGCTTTTTGTGTCATCATCTCACCGGCCAAATGAAAATCCATTTAAAATAATAACTGTTGAAAGGTGTTTCCCCTGCAGGCAGGGAGATGGAGGATGTAGATTGCATGGCGGCAGGTCGTAAGGTTGCACTCTGATACATATCAAAGGAAGCCGACACAGCGAGAATGCATCTGCCTTCTTAAATCCTGAATTTCCATAATCAGACGGAAACTGGGCTCTACCTGGGACGATTTTGAAGGAGGGGGGGTCCACGGAAGGAGAAAATCCACATCTAACTTTGCAGAGAAGTCAAGCATGTTAACATCACAGTTGAGTTGGTTTTTGTTTTCTTAATTTTTTTTCAAAGAGAGTTCCGGCAAAATGAAATGGACATGGTGTCTCTACGCATGGTAATATTCTCAGCAGGGGATTTGTCACGCTTTTTATTCTTTTTTTTTTCCTTAATGGAAAAGGCTGTTGGGCCCGGCTGCTGAATGATGGTGCCACTGCTGTTAATTGGCCATGCATCACCCTGCAGGTATTTCCTTGGAATTCAGTCCGACACAAATTACTCAGTTGTGCGGGTTTTTTTTTTTTGAGGCGGAGGACAATGGGACTATGTGGTCTGGCTGCACGATCAGTACCAACACCGCGATCTATCTGTCCAATGTCTTTTGCAGCATGTTTGTCCCTCTTGGCTATTTCTCATCACTTTTATTTTCCTCGCATTAAATTTTTTTTAAGAGATCTCGTTGGGTAAACGGAGGGGGGAGATTTCCAATTCCGAACGGAACAAACTCTTAAGTGTGCACGTTACATCAATTTAAAGTTTGTTAAGATGGAATGGACCGATGGTGCCATTTCACCGACAATAAGGCCCCAGGACATCGCTAAAATGAAGTCTCCTCGGAGGAGGTTGGGAACTATAGAAAGACCGACAGAATGGGGTGCATGTCAAATATCATATCTCCTCTAAATCCAGGGACAAAGTAATTGAAAACAAATTTTTTCCGAGGGGAAAGGGGAGCGGGGGCTGGCAAGGCTTGTAAATTTGTCACAAATCTGTTGGAAACATTCGGCCTCATGTCACAGTAGGCCAGATATCTCTTAAGTAATTAGGTTGGGAGTTGAGAACATGAGATTTTAATCATGTAGGGCAATGCTTTGCCGAGGACATGGATGTAGGAGGATTGTGAGAGTGACCAGATCGATGTGGACAGAGAGATGCAATGAGTAATTATTCTTGCGGAGTAACAGATATACCGGTATGTATTGAAAAAATAAAACAGTATTTAAGACATTTTGACCAGATTATGGTGGATCAAATTTCACAAGTTTACACATGTAAAGTTGGTCCAAAATTTAAAAAACTTTACAAATGCCGACAGCAAAGGATTTTGGTGAAGAGGTGTTCAAAACTGAGTCATTCACTCAGTCTGCGCCTACATGTGCATGCACCCACGCTGTAAGTCACTGTGCAAACAAAAAGCCTATTTTGACCTCAGTGGCCATCCTTGGATGGTGTTTGGACTGTTTATTTTGGGGAAGAAACTGTCAGAGCAGCTGTTTGTCTTGGCCTGGGACAACTTCTTGGAACTCGGCGGAGTTTCACAGAGGCAACCTGACATTGACTGAATAAAAAGAGGTCGGTCTTGTCCAAGGACGGCATTTCAAGGTAAAGGAAGGCCCACTAAGATGCCATGCTATGTGCGTGTCTTCTCTTATGCCAAGAAGATGTACAGTACATGATGGATGTACATGTAAATTCCACACGATCAAAGCATTACGGGACCCAACCTAAGAGAATGTGTAGCAAGTTGCTAGAGCTACCTCCTGAGCTAACATCCTTTACATGAAAAAGAATCTCCCAAGATATAGATATTGAAGAGCCTCACCAAGGCCAGTTTATCCTTGCAAACACAACTTATAATAAAAAATACCTACAAAATGAAAAACTCAGTCTGTGTAATCTAGCCACATACATGGATTTACTTCTGATGATGTCATAAGTGAACAACTCATCATAAAAACTATTAAGAGGCAGAAGAAATGAAAAGTGTATCCACACACGGGTAATTCTCTGCCATCTTTGCCAAGATTGGGCCACTTGGCCTGTAGCATCATTAAAGACAGACAAAAGGTATCCTGCTCTACACCTAAACCTCACACCCCAGAAAGATGGCCGGTTTTCAACAAAAGGCCGGGGGGGGGGGAAAGGTACATGTACGGTGGATTCGTTATGTGTTACATAACAGCTGCAATCGTGCTTCACACATTTACTCTGTGAATAAAAGTTCTTGGAGGTGGGGGCTCTCAGAAGATTAAAGCAAATGAGGCGCCTCTTGAAAAAGGAGGGCAACTGGTCAATATACCTACATGTATATGCTCAATTGTTGGATATCAATGTGTTACCATACGTGTCCCTTGGCCCAGGGGATGAGGGGTGCAGTTTTGGCAGGAGTTACAATAACATGTACATTCTGTCCTCACTGACATACTTTATGGGGGGAAGTACACTCAAACCTTTATTCAATAACTTCTTTCACAGACCATGTGCAGATATACCGAGTGTTTGCACTGTCATGAGTTTTGGTCATGTGGCACTGACTTTTGTAATAGCAAGCCAACACCCATACAGGAAAAATAAATATCAGATACAGAATATTATAAAGTTAAAATTGTTGGCATAGCATAATGGTCACGTGAGGCAGACGAGTCGGGCAAGTTTTTTTTCCCATGATCTGTGCATACACCACAAAACATCATATGGCACATGAAGGTCATATTGTATCCTTATTATCCTATAGATATCTATCCACTGCTTTACTCTCAGAAACCACAATTTACCAGATACAGTAAACTACAAAGTTGTGATAACTCAGTCCCCGTAACTGGAAACTTGATATTATAACACGGTTATGAGCCCTGAGGTACAGCTATGATGTGGAGTGCGAGATCCTGTAATCATGTGGGGTTTAAGTAACGCTCATATGGCAGCAATGTCCAGGGAAGAAAGAAGATGGGACCAGCGATGTGTATGAAGGTATACATTGTTTCGCATTAAATTCTGCCATACAAGCTTCATCCATAGCAACATACTGTACAAGACCTTCCAACCAAAGGCACGTCTCCTACTAGGAAACGTTTTTTTTCAAATCATGCAGCAGCGAGTTCCGTTCACTCACCCCACCCTAGCTGAACAAATGAAGCTTAATCTGGTGCACAATTCAACAAAGATCTCTACACACGATCTTCTGTTCTTATATGCACTTCACAACAATCTGATTCTTGACCACTGCAACATCACACCATCACACACGACGCTTTTAAAACTTGAAGCATTCTGAAGGGAAGTCCTAAATCACACTTACATATATCACATCTACTTGGTTTTTTTTCCTTAACCAAAGAGGCTACGACCAGCCCCACCAAACTATAACCTGCCTTTGATGGGAAATCATAAATAACCTTGCTGCCCCTTGACAGCGATTTCCCATCTCTAGTGTCAGAAGGAATATGGGTTAATAACATAGGGGGTGTTCTGAAAAGCAGCCTGATTGGGTAGTATCCATGTATTCTCAAGCTGGGAGCCAGCTCCCTGCTGTGAGAACATTTTAGTTGGCTCCTTGTAAAATGCCTGGCATTTTGGGAGGGATGGAATGAGTATGAAGCCTGTACACATGGCAGACCTCCTGTGTATGGTACATACATTAATTGAAGTCTTCAAGGGTGGGGGGGGACTACTGGTGTTTGAGCCGAAGTCAATTTCATGCACAAGGAGGCCTGTCCCAAGTTGATCAATCATTCCTCACTCGACTGAGTAATCACTCTGATTTGACTAACTCGGTTTCAATCAAGCACAGTCAATTTTGTGTAAATTTTTCATATCCATAGAATGTCATTCCATGTACTTTTACTTCCCTTCTCATAAAGTTCTATCGATATATCCCATCCATACAATTTTTGTCTGCACAGCTTGTGGATGAAAATCAGCTTGACAGTTTCCTTGACATCTGAACCGATAAGCCATTTGCGAGCTAGAAGCTGCTTCTTGTCTGCAGTCTGCCAACGCCTAATAGTTCACACTAGAAATCTCCATTGTATCCTGATATTTTTGGCTAGAAAGCTGGCATTTCAGATCCACCGATATCTACATGCACATGGTTAATCCAACGATAAATTTTCAATATTGCCATTAAAATAGTATTAATTCTATGTCGTTGTAGCCTGGTCGTACAGTTATGAGGCCATCAAAATAGCCACAAAACTAGGAGGTGAATTTGAAAGCTTCGTGGCAGACAGGGTTAAGATTCACAGGGTGAAATTAGCCCATTTTGATCGCACACCCCAAGGGCCCATGAGAACACACGCCGTAAGCATAAATACCTGAATAAAAACAGAGGCATGCAACTAGGACTTTGACCAAAAAAACGACAAAATTCCAACCTTTACAAGACTTTGTAGTTTATATAGTGTTTTTCATTTTTCAATATCATTAGTGTGAAGTGAAAAATGAGGAAATCAGCTGATCAGAGGAAAAGTTGCACGAATAAAAATAACATAAATATGTCATTTGGGACTTTCGCCTTTACATTCCCTTCAAACATTCTGTTTGACCACATTTGCTCCAGGTCAGACAAACACCAAAAGTAACATGTCTAATTGCAATGTCACAACCTGGCATGACCCGGTCACTGTCATCTGCACGACAGAACACAGCCACAAACTTACCTGTTTAGGGTTCAGATGAACTGTCCTCTTCTCGGACGAATCAGAGGAGCCTAGAAGAGCCACCTTGGAGTGCCACAACGACTCGTCTGACTCCTGGAACTGGTTGTTCACACATCCACTCAGGACATACCCTCCTAGACAGAAAAATAAAAGCACGCCTCGGTCGGAAAGTGTTGGAGAAGGTAAAATAAACAACCATCCAACTTTTCAAAAACAAAGTACCATTTCCTGTTACAATGACCTTTTTAGCATTTAAGCAGTTTCTTGAAATAAACACTGAAGGTGACTTACAGGGAATAACCATGGAGGTACACATGTGCACACTGCATTGAAACGAATAAAAAAGATTAAAGAAAACTTGGCTCAACCTCCTGCCCAGAAAAGTCTACCCTGATAACTGGACTTCTTTTAAGAAGTTTACATGCCACTCTTCCGGGTTACTCACAACAGTTCAGTAGCTTGTGGACCCTTGCTTAAACTCCAGTAAAAATCCTAATTTACTTAGATTCACAACTTCCAGGCTCATAAACTGTAGGCATTTAAGCTTTTCCTGTCAACATCATATATTGGTCAATAAACTAAAAGATGAATTTTAGTGGTCTGATCCTAGCATTAGAGTCAGGATGTTGTGTATGCTTGGTTTATGGATAATGACTTATGCACACATGCTTTATTAACAGTTTACTTTTGCATGGTATGTTGAGTTGTTGACCTTCAATGGCTTAGCACTATGGTTATCACCCAAAAAAGTGCATGCAAGTCTAGGTACCAGTCCCAGTTTAGAATCAATCAAAATCCCAGAGGTCAAGTCACCCAAGAGGTCATGTCAGAGAGATTGAAGTTAAACAGGCGAGGTGCCATGGACAAAGTCGGACAGTGGAGAAAAGGGCAGGGCTTAGGCAAGTGGGTGGGTGTCATACCTTCTGGGTTTTCCCTCCGCTTAGTGCTAGCACTGGCGAAACCTAGAGTTGAGAACCCTGTGGTCCGGGGAAAAAAAAAACACAAATATGTTACGAGATAAAACGTATCAGAGTCACTCCAAAGTATAAATTAATGACTCATTCTAAAAATCCAATACCTGGCGTTGTCCTAATTAGAGTTTACTGGCAGTCATATTTTCACTTTACACATGATGATTGACAGTCAAGGTTTAATTTCTCAACTCTAACACTGGCCTTTCTTTTATACTTCAGGGTTTCACTATATGCTGGTCGATCTGCACAATCACTCGATCTTTGTGTGATCTGTCAATCTTTACGCACAACTTTCCAACATTTCTGCCATCAGCCAATCGCATGTTCTTTCTTATTTGCAGTTGTGGGGAGACTGGAAGTGGAAGTCAGAGATATTTTACAGGATTGCTTGAAGGTGCAACATCACCCCACGCCAACCAACAAATACAACATGTACACATCACGTGACACATTTTGGAGTCCTAGCGCACTATGAACATGCCCTAATCAAATACAAAGAACTTCATGTTGAAGCTATACCCCCAGAACTGTGGGGTCCGACGTCCACCCCGTTCCTACGTAGGAGCAGGCGGACGTCGGACCCCACTCCCAAGTGGCAGCAGGGCAGACGCCGGACCCCACAGTTCTGGGGGTAGTTGAAGCTATACGTAGATAGACAAAAAAGTCATCATGGGTGCATACACTGAAGTCAAAAGATACTAAAGTAAGGTCAGACTACATCTGTGAGTGTGACTAAAATGAAAATCTGTGAGTAAAATGAAAAGGGATGATAACTTAGTCCTTAGAATTTCACATGTGCATCTATTTGCAACCAGTCCCAGAGGTTGCAATTATGTATGGCAACTTTGTTTTATCAACATGTATATTATATAGCAAAACAGCTTTTTTACGTTTGTCTGTGTTTCCAATCTCCAATGACCGAAGCTAGTCTTGCTCTATACTGGAAATGAGCAAAGAATTCCCTTGAAGGTCAACACAAACATAGAAAACTGTCGAGTGAAGGTTAAAAACTCAGGTCTACATAAAACAGACATTTCCACGGTTAGCCAATACTGATTCGACCTTCAATCCAACATAGGCAGCTACGAGTATACGAAGTACATTTACAACACATGCATGACATTAAGATATCAGTCAGTGACAGTGGACACGGTCACTGGTGCAGTGGTGGAAGCTACCGAAATCCACGGGAGGTTTAATTTTACCAATACTCTTGCTGTTCGTCTTTCCCATGGCACGGGCAGAAGATAGCGTGGTGGTGAAACCTGCCAGACATACGCGAAAATATCAAACCAAGCGATCAGGTAGCAAAGATGTCCATTGCAGCACTGCTCGCAGATACTTCTGGTGAGAATTCACCGTGTCGAGGTCATAGTAATTCGATTTTGAAGTTCAGTGGATGAGTGGATCTATCTTCCAGTTTCGCGTGCGTAGGATTCTGCATACAACCCGTTCATTTGTGTACGAACAGCAACATTCCCACAGCATTCTATGCATGCTGCGCGCATACGTACATGTACGTACGTCCAAAAAATAGCGAGCCCAGTTTTCACTGGTAACCATTCCCACAATCATTTGTTTCCCCTGAAAGTCGGCCACCAGTTGTACAGCCGGCCAAAAATGGGCGGTCTCACTCTGCTGTCAATCACCCACACAAAGGGCGGTGCTTTACCAGGAACCGTCTTTGATTGGAACAAAAGCTGCAAAGGGAAGCTGGCTCGCATCAGCCCCATACTCTCACTAGGGTCACCGGCGCCCAGTATATAAGGCCCAACACTTGTTTTGATATATATATATTCATTAATGAAACGCAATTGGGAACAGAAGGTTAAATCCGTTGTTTGTACCATAAAATTTCTATTTTAATGCAAACTGAATTTGCAATAGTGGATGACACATTATTATCTGAAGTCCGGCTTCGCTCTAAGGGTTGAAAAAGGCGCATAGAAATAAGCATCAGGTAAAAATATTACATGTACAGTGTACCTGCAATTATTTACATTGTTTTGCTTTAGTTTCAATGGCCTAAAGAAAGTACTTTGCTTACTGGGAATTTGCTATCATTTATTTATTTCAGTTCATCCAATAGCACATTTAGCCAATTAAAGGACAATAAAGACAGAAGTGGGAGGAAAACCCACGAAATCAGGCGGGGACTGAAAACCCAGTCCACAAGCTGAACGAATTGGGATTCGGACCCAGGTCGCAGAGGTGAAAAGGCGAGGAAATAACCACTACACCAACCTAACTACGTCTTAAGTATGGATCCCAGTCCAACCATTTTACGGATGCTATATGGGATGACTAAAACTGGCCCAGTTTCCCTTTAAGGCTTTATTTCCAGCTTTCCTCGTTGTCTTCAATTATTCATGGGAATCTTCACGCTCTTGTTCCACTACACTCGTTTTGTATCAGGCGGCGAGCCCTGAAACGCCGACAAAGGCGATTATTTGGAAAACATTGCCACTTGGATGGATACCAACGTCAGTCGAGTGTGCTCCCGATCGGATGTAGTGGCTCTCACCTTCACGGTAATTCGTCTTCCTGTTTTCTTAACGGTGGGGACGGACAGCCAGACCGGCCCGGCGCTTCTGCGCCGCAAGCCTATATAGTGATTCGTTTCGGTTTCAAGTTCGCCACCATCTAATATAGTCATGTATCACCTGAAAGACTGTCAGTGTGGTGAATCATCATAATCGTATATTTTTCAAGTTCGCGCGATTCATTTGTGTGCACACTGGTATTTGAATATTTAACCGTGGGCACTATGGATGTTCAGCACACGCTGCATTTACCAGTGCAGTGGCATACTCCCCTATTTAACTCGACCACGCCAGACTCCCTTTAAAATGTTAGAATCTTTTTTAAAATGAGAACACTTTCGGCCTACTTTTTATAGTACTGTCCTTTTTCAACTTTCTAGTCACGCAATAAAGAACAAGGAAGGAATAATATTAACATTAATAACACAGGTCCACTCCTGTTGAAACGATTCAAGAAAAACTGTTCATACTCAAGATTCTGAACAAGGAACCTGAGAATTTAAGTGATTGTCACAGTCAGGACACATAATTATCTATGTACTTTTTCTTACAGAAAGAGCCACTACAGACGATCCAAACTCGTTTATGCAATTGTTGACCAATGTACTGAAAACCGTTTCCTACGATAAACAAAGTTGATTGTCTTCGTGATAACGCGTGGTCTGAGTATAACAAAAGGGCTGCCGCGCCTCAGGCTTTCACCTGGCAGATGTCCTCCGTGTAGGTGTCCGGAGATTACAGGTCACTCGCTCCCGGCTCATATAGATCATGGTAAGTCCACGTTGCCGCATGGACAAGATGGCGGTGTCCTTTGATGTTCATTCACACTTTGTTCTCGTCGGCCGTCCCCCGATGATACAAGACTCACCATATGAGATCCACATTCAGTACTCGTGTGAACAAAGTAAAATCCATGTTGCCGGGCCATATTGAGTCCCATCAGCGACAAGATTGGCCATGACGTGCCGTCGCGGTTGTCCCCAGAGGAACAACGCCTCAGATTTATACAAAATGTATTTTGCAAGTGAACTTTTCACGAGCGCTCGCCGTAGCTGCACTTTCACAGACAAGTCGGATCCACTCCCCGGTGATTTTCTTCATTGAGCAAGCCTGTTAAAGGGCGATTGGTCCCCAATTCGGTCGATCCGCACGATCACTCGGTATTTACAGATCTGTCAGCCTGCCATCAGCCAATTCGCGGTTGTGTGTGTGTGTGTGGGTTTTTTTTTTTCAAAAAAGGAGTAAAGTCTGAGATTTCAAAGTGATCGACTGATAGCTTGATGATAATCGGCCAATCGCGTCCGACATTTTGCATGTGTTTCACGCAAGAAAGCGCAAGCAAACGACTGGCGGGAAAGACTACGCCTTTTAATCTTGGAATCAAGAAGTCACCCACCCAAATCCATACAGTAATAATAAGTGTTGAACCGATTGAAGTGAAACAGCGGAGGCCCCACAGTAAACCTTTGACAAAATTAAATTCGCCTTTGAAATAACATAGGTTTGAATATATTTGTTTGCGTTCAATCTGATAATAAACTACTTTCTACGTTTATTATAAGGGCACTTTTTTATCAAGGGGCAGGAGCATAATCTTTCCGAAAATTCTTGTCGACTCTTACAACGCTTTTTTTATTTGATCCACTATCTTATATTCATTCTGAAGAAAACAGCACTTGATGTTGGACTTCCCCGCAGATTTATGAATAAACACAAATGCAAACAAAACAAAAAGCCAATGTTTTATGCAGTTTCACGCAGATCCAGACGATTTCAAGTCTGTAAGTTGTTTTGTTCAAGTGATACAAACACAGAAGAGTTGAATGGCACATGTCTTCTTTTCGGTAAATTGGACTTGTGACTAGTTTGCCGGTCTCGTTAATAGTAATCGTCGTCTGTTGTGGCACAGCGGCTAGGTATTTAACATAACAAAAACGGTCACACTAGTTTTAAATTGAGCCATTAAAGTCATTCAATATTCAAAAGTGGTGTCACAGTTTACCACCTCTGAAGGAAATGGGGCTTTTGATGCAGTTCATGGAAAGGACGGGACCGCACCAGCCATATCTTGATATGAAATGGAAAGTGTGAACGCAGGTGCTGCCATTAGTGCAGCCAGAACCTTTGGGTCAATTTTTGAGAGGGTATGGACCAAAACATCGAGGGTTTGCATTGCTGCCATCTTGCAGGCCAGTGCTTTTGTTCCACATGGTATAGTATGCACAAAGGAGGTTTCGCTGTCGAACATAACGGCCCTGCAAGATGGCTACCACGCAAAGCCTATATTGAGGATTTCTCCATGCAACCTCAACACACAAGGAGGGACGAGGCTTAATACTTCTCCCCAGTTGTGTACACGGTGGAACTTCCGGTGTGAATGGTGGTTAGCTCTTAATCCAGTTCAAACATCACTACCCAAGCCAAGATTGAGATTAAGCACGTCGAGTATTGTTATGACGACCACCATACACCATTTGTTTAATGGGAATTTTTTTCGACGGAAATAAACAAACCTATTTTGCCCCTGATGAGTCCCTTGCGGTGTACAACCGGAACACGCCGGGGTCTGTTTGACAGTCTGACAGTTCAATAAAGGTTTGATAATCCGAATTTGGAATAAACTTTCTTAGTCCAGATGTTCAAAAGTCCGATACTCCGAAGATTCATCAAGTCAAAAAGCACTTCAACTTTCAAAGTCCCAACTATGGGTTTGACTTCCCTTAAATCTTTTAATTTTAATTTTGGACAAAGGAGGCTTGTTATCAACTCTGACTTTTATGAACCTAAGGTCAGATGATTTGCTATTCTGTTTTCCAACTAATAAGCATTTGGACTATCGAACCCATAGTAGACAAATGAACTATAAGTTGGACAATTGAACTTAACGACTATGGACCTTATTGGTGAGTTGGCCGTATTGAAATTTAGAGTGAAGTTAATTCTTCATTTTTGGAACTGGAAAGCATCCATAAAATCTATAATTTCCCGTCAAATTAGTATAAATAGCTATCTACTCTGGTGAGTGATTTCATATTTGTAATAAAACGTACTTTAGTGTCTTACGCCAGATTTGGAATAAAACGAAAGGGAAGCTCGGAACCTTCATTAGACGACAATTTATCAAGCAAATTCGATGAACAAGATCAGAAATGGCTTCCTCGGGAATAAGGTACCCTCAACCTACTACTGAGGGGTAAACAACACGTCATAACCCCTCAACGAATGAACGGACAGTACGAGTTGTCTACGTATCGGCTGCTTTGTACATCAGCAATTACATCTAAACGTCGCTATGATTAACGTCTGTGCTCACTCGACGGATCGGTCATTTCGCGTGTGATTTGAAAATTATTGGCCTTCTACTAGCCAAAAAGCCATAATCAAATCTAATGACAATTTTGCGAGAGGGTCATCTTTTTTCTGTCAAAAACGTCAGTGGCCATCATTTATAGGCCTAAAGGTTCGGCTTTCTCCATTTAAACGTTCGATCATCCCTCGGTGCATTTTGTATTATTTCGTGGGCTGATTTTATTTGGAAAGGGGAGAAAAGAAGCTTTCAATTTCTTAGAGTTAAAGCCATGAAGAAGTTAAAGCCGTTAAAGAAAGGTGTGCGTCGTGACTTAGCTCGCCAAATCATGCTCATTTTGTGCAGAAATTTTATTCATTCAATAAAAATTCCAATTTCCATATACCTAGTTTCGTGTGACTCGTGTATAATTGAGTTCAATGAATACGCGTATAGGCCTAATAGTGACTTGTCCCTGAACAAGAACAAAAGCATTTTCCTATCCATTTTTTTCTTTTGCCGTCTTTTAAACATTTTTTACGCGTTTGTAGGGATAAAAGTTTGTAGGTATATAATATTATTCATTAATTAAGTCGTATCTCAAAAATTGTGATTTATTTATATCAGTATAAATACACACATATAAAAAGGATACCCTTGGATTACAGAGTTCTACAAGTTCTCAGTCAGCACTATCTA